GCCCGCGCGGCGCTGGCGGCGGGGCCGCGGTAACAGGTGGGCCGGGGGGCCCGGGCCGACCCCCGAGCGCCGCCTCGGCCCCTCCGGGCGCTGCCGTGCGGGGTCACGGCGGGACCGGCACGGCGGGGACCCCCCTGCGCTGCGGGTCCGCTCCCGCCGGTGCGGCCATAGCGCGGCCCCCTGCCCCTCCTGGGGCTTCGCAGCCTTCCGGGTGCCCCGAGCACCGAAAGAGGGTCCCCAAGGACGTGATGCTGTAAGGCCAGCAGAAACCAGTCCGGGACATGCTGGGCTGAAGTGGAAGGTTAAAATAGCTGGGTTTAAATCTGCTTCTTAAGACACAGTGATACTTGAAAACACACAGTCATTTGAAATAGGTGTTGCAATAGATCAAGCTAGTAGCTAAAAGAACTTCTGAAAACTGCTCCCTTTCCTCCTCCCTCTAAATGGCCTTGGTGGAATAAAGCCCTTGCTGAAGTGTTCTGCTGAGTGTGTGATCAGTGTTTATCACCTATTGGCTTCCACCTTCCACTGCCTTAAGTTTCTTAAAATATTCTTGCTAAATAACACCAGAGACCTAAAATTCTGCTGACACTTCAAAAACCAATTCATGTCACCATCATTGTTCCAATTCATTATGCACATAGGAGTCAAAATGCAGGGCCTATGTATACACCATGATTCTCTTCTACCGAATCCTCCTCTCTGTCTTCTTGCCTCTTCTCATTTGTCTGCACTTCGTGAGTCTTTCTGAGGAAGTGATTTTGCTGGGATAATACAGAGGCTGTGATGTGGTTCCTGTCACAGTTGAAATGGTGAAGGTGGATGACTTCAACGTACAGAGCTGTCAAACTACAGCTTCATTCCATGCCCTTTTAATAGTCCACCGTTCTTTTAGCTATAGCTAGTTTTGTTAAATGTATTTATTAGCAGCAATAGAACTATCACCATTGTATGTTAATTTTACTAAAAACAAGCAGGAAAACAGCTAGCCAAAAACTTCCTTTAAAATCAAAAGCACCCAAGAGAGTGAAATAATTGCAAAACCAAAGTGGAACTAGAGTCAGTGTCCCTGGCTGTGATTATCAAGTGAATGAAGCAGAGTGGAAGCACTACAAAGAAACTGAGTATTCATCAATCTTTCTCTTCAGAAACACATTGTATCAAAATGTGGATGTAATTAATAACTTGCTAAGGCATAGTACCTTTAATAGAATTACATTGCTCGGTATGTTTCTTAAGCAAGTTTTTTCTTATTCATCAAGGAACTCTGTATTTAATTTCACATGCTTTCTTTCCAGAGCCTGCTCTGGGCCTGCCAGTGACCTTAATGGATGTAGGAACAAACCTCTTCACAAAATGCCATTTTAAAATTGCATTAAAGCTTAAAAGGGGAGAGAATTTTCAGTTAAGTTTATATAGCAGCATTTTACAGAAGGCCAAGGATCAGAGACTGCAGAGGAGGATATGCTCCTCCATAAATCTTAGACAGTTTTTTGTCTTCAAACTGCTAAAAAGAAGTGGCTGGTGGATGAAAGAGGGCACATCTACTTTAACGAAAGCAATAGACTCCAAACATAAACATTTCTAGAAAAATGGATAATATGAAATCTGACAGAACTGCAACCCAAACTGCTGTTTCCTTAGTCTAAGACACAAATAAATAAGGAGAATTTATTCTGAGACCTCTCGCTCTTAGAGAAAGTACATACATCCAAAGGAAGAACATTCTGCTGTGAATCTTCCTAGGAAAACACGTAGTTGACTATAGCTTAGTCCAAAACCTATAGTCTGACCAGATGTATGTTTAAGACACACTTCTTCCTGGTCTTACAGACCCACATTTTTGTATGACACAAAGAAGAATTGCAGACAATGGATGATGTATTTAAAATATTTATTTAAAATTATGAAATGTATTTCATAATGTCTGCCAGTGTCAGATGCAAAAGTAGGTATAAGCTTAACTCCCAGTGTTCAACACTGTGACTTTTCAGGGTATATTTTAATACAAGATTGTCATACAGTGCTTGAAGCTTTAAAACAGTGCTGAGAAGTACTGGATTGAAAGACAGTGTTGATCTGCTGAAGGCATGTTCTTCCTGACCAAAATCAGATTTTTTAGTTTACTGCATCTGGAACAATGATTTTTAAAATATATTAGCAAGATTGTTTCATGAGACAATAATAATCTCCAGGATTTTTTGCAATCAGCCTCAGTTGTGTTTTAGTTTTTATTATCTTGTACTCAATGGGAATAGCACTTTTGTGTCCGTCTTCAGTGCCAGGTAGTTTATTCTGTGCTCTGATTTTCTAGATAAGGTTTCAGATGTCCTACAAAGACACAACATTACCAATGCTTGTTGGAATTCACTGGAGAATTGTTCCTGTAGAGCACAAGTTTAAAAAAAAGTATATGTTATGTCAGTGTCATATGTCAATGATCTGGGGTTTGTTTGAGAAATTCACTGTTTTAACTCCTGCCAGCTGCAAAATTGTATTAATGGGAACATGATCCAGCCTGTTTTTATCAAGGTGCAAAAAATGAACTTCATTGCCTGGAAAGGAATGAGAATAACATGTAAATTACTAAATAAAATATTTATTTATTCAAATATGTAAGCAAATCAAAGCAGCACTCTAACTTCGTACTAGTTCTTGTACAAATGTGTACTAGATCTGTAGATTGCACAGTATACTGTATTTTAAACAATGACAAATTTTTTTTAAATTATGTTAAAGAAGCAAGGAACATTGAGGCACCTAACTAGTTTAAATCTGCTGTAGCATGATGTTTCCTAATCATAGAATCATAGAATCACAGAATCAGCTGGGTTGGAAGGGACCCCTGAGATCATCAAGTCCAACCCTTGATCCAACCCCGCTGTGGTTCCCAGACCATGGCACTGATGCCACATCCAGTCTCAGCTTAAAAACCTCCAGGGACAGAGAATCCACCACTTCCCTGGGCAGCCCATTCCAATGGCTGAGCACCCTCTCTGCAAAGAAATTCTTCCCAACGTGATGACTGTCATGTTGCAGCTCCCCCTTCATGCACTACTCTTCTACTAAACAACATCAGATGCCTCGAATCAAATGTGAAAACAGACTGTAGGTAAATGCCATGATGTCAAAAAAACCCTCCAAATTTCGAGGCACTTCTTCCATCACCACTCCAATCAATTTTTGCAGGACTGTGATGAGCTTTGTGCCACCTCTGTGGGAGCTGGGACGAGGCAATGACACTTTGCAGATTCCTTCACGCCACAAAAATCATACAGTTGCACACAAGGCTGTCTCCTCTGAATCCACGGGGACAGCAGGCGAGCTGGGCAGCAGACAGCTGAAGGAGAGAGCTGCAACTCTCACACAAAACACAGCAGCTCACCTGGGCCTATGATCAAAGCTCCTCCCTGCTGAGCAGGGTCTCCTTGGAAATCAAAAGCCGGGCCAGTCATTGCTCTCCATATACTCCTGATGCTTCCCAGGAGTGTGTTTGATTTCACATGAGGGCTCCGCACTAAACAAAACCACCAAATATTGTTATCTATAAACACAAAAGTATGTAAGGAACAAGAGCACTGAACAGCTGCTACGAATAGTTTATAGATTCCTGATCACCAGTATTTTCACAAGAGACAATCTAGTGGGCAACTCACTTTCTATTTACATTGCAATCATTCTATTTTATCAGAGCATTCATGTTTTGTTTGCGTAAGTCCAAATAAGGTGAGAAAATTATTCTTACCTGATATGTTATTACCTTCACCTCTTTTCATGCCAAGCATTTTATAAATTTCCCTTTGTGGATCTACATACATTTCATGCGTATACCCAGTTAAACTGCAAAAGGGCTGCAAAATATATGCATACACACACACACACACAAAAAAAAAGTAATATTTTTAAGGTTAAGGCAGTAACTGGTTAGGGTCTGCTGACAACAGAAGAAGTACTGATACCCTGCCAACTCCACCCTCCCCCCTCTTATTTGGAAGCTGTGTATTTGTCATGTTAAATTAAAACTTTTCAGCCTCAAAGCTTTTATTAAAACAAAGCTTCCAGTGAAATCAAGAAAAGATGTTTCTTAGAAAGAAAAAGATGTTTCTTAAAAACCTGGTGGGTTTTAAATTCAAAATTTTAGTTATTTGCTTTACCCATGTATTGCTATTAGAATTGCCTCATGAGTACCATCCTTTTTTTCTGTAGTTGCAAAAGACCATCTTTTCACTCAGAGCAAATCCCTCAATACAGACCATTAAGACACAAGAGACTATTGTCTATTTTATTTAGACTATTTTATTTACCTTGATGTGATGATAAGATGACTGCCCAATAACTATAAGCCTCACATTTGCTTCCTAGAACAGAACAAGGGTATTGAAGTTGTAAAGAGGAACTCAAGTGTTTCTGCACAACTTCGAAGCATTAGCAGAATCTGGCGTCCTGAGTTAATAATCACAGTGCACTGAGTTAAAATTATTGGAAATTAAAATCACGTGTTTGGAGACTTTGCCCTGGCTATCACCCACAGTCAGAAGCAACATTAATTTATTAAGTTATAAATTATTTTTAAAGAGAACCTTTAAATTACAGATGTGTAAACTTTGAATTTCCTGTAGCATTGGTAGCATTGTCTTTCTGATTGATTGCAATTGATTGCAACATGCTATAATTTTGGAAATTCAAAATTTCCCTGCAGTTGCACCTACCTCTAAAGAAGCAGCACGGAAATATTGGTGCCCACATATCTGTGATTTACATATAGAGACACACATTAATAGATATAACTTGCATTCACGCATAATGCTGTCTCTTGCAGATGCAACATTAGGCCTGAGCCTAAAATAGAGGCCAAAACTTGAGTTCATTTAGATGCCAGTAAAAACAGTTAATAAAATATAAGGTAGTTTCATTAGCATGTAATACTTCCCTTTCCCATATAGAATCATTTTGCTTGTTATGGAAAGAAGCCTCCTAAAAAGAAAACACTCACACTAAGAAAAGCATGGACAGATTTTGATTCTCTATCTACATTTATTTGAGGAGTCAAATTAAGAAAATGTCACTCCGAGTAACACTGGTCGAACAGTTCAGAAATATCTGTCCTGAGAAGAGAAGCTGCCAAAGACATTTCCCCTTTTTATCCTCAAGTTCTTAGTCCATCTCAGATGGATTTAGATGGACTTGCTGTCAGCAATGACCTGAGCCTCTGTCACTGACTATGCTGCTGTTGGGAGTAAAATATGACAGAATTTCAATCATCAGTCTGGAAGAGACAGATTGACCTTCCATATTTAGCAGATCATTGTCTTCTCTGGTGTCTCCCACCACCCTGCAAATACCTGTCCACAGCAACCCCTGCCCACTCCTCCTTTCTGTCACTGTGTCATTCCTGTTTGTGCAGCTGCCCAGAGAACAGGTCACAGCACTGATGCAGCTTACAAATAACCATAGGGAAAGATACTGGTTTTAATCCAGATCAATTTTCTGATCTTGTTCCACGCACAACCATCAGTCAGCCCTGCCAGCATAATGGAAAGGGCAATTGTTAGTAGTCAGGAGAAGACAGCTGTCCAGGGCACTACTAATACCAGAAGGAATGCCTGTCAAATGTTGTCTAGCTGTTCTAACACAGCAGTAAAAAGAGCACCAAGCTAATAGGGCAGGGAGAAATAATACTGCTGCAACAGAGCATGTAGTGCCATAAATCCTTTCCTGTGTCTCCTAGGCAGATTCATTATTGCTGTTGTAGCAAACAGTGAAAGTGCTTCTTCTGACCCACTTTTTTATTCCTGGAAGCATCATGCAAGGCTGTAGCTGGACATAACAAATCAGCTTGGTTGCAGCAACCCCACATACATATTAAGGGTAGAATACTTACTTGTAAAAATGCCTTGGGAACTTTTGCCAGATCTTCTACATATTCCTTACAGGTGTAACACAAAAAATTCTGCAACACAGCCAACTGGATGTATCAGAAACAGATGTAGTTGCATAGCAATGAAGCAGCAGATTACTGATTTGGGGCACACGACACTTTGGAGGTGAACAGGAATCAAGAATGAGAAAGATTCCAGTTCTTTGAAGTCACCACATTTGGATTAGGATACTGGTTTAATCCAAGCATGAACAAGGACGCTGGGCCCGCGGCCTTGCTAATATTTTTATCTCTAGATATCGCAGCAATGCGATAGCTGGCTCAACAGCTGGGAAATCAGGGGAACGCGATACTTGTTTCCCCAAAAGCGCGGCTGAAGAAGTGTTTCCTTTCTGGTAAACAGTGTTATCACGTTACCACCAAGGCGCGGATGGACCGCGGGAGCAGCGCTGACCCGCTCGGTGCGTTCCCCCCGCTCCCCTCCAGCCCTCCCGCAGCCCGGCCCCCGCTCACCCGCACGAACACCACGATCGCCTTCCGATCCCCGTACAGGGCCTGGAAGGGGACGCTCCTGCCGTCCCGGTCCAGCACCGGGCAGCGGGCAGCCTCCTCCCGCAGCTCCGCCGGCTCCCCCCGCCCGCAGCCCCGCGCCCGCCCGACCTGCTGCGTGACCGGCAGCGCCCGCGGCCCCGCCATGGCACCGGCAGGGGAGGAGAGGGAAGGGAAGGCGGAGCTGGCGCGGAAAACAGCGGGAGGGAGGGCGTGCGAGACGGCGAGGAAGCGACGGGGCCGGGAGGGAGCGCGGAGGCTCGTCCGTGTCCCCGTCCCTGTCCCCTCCCTGGGAGCGGCCCCGGGCGAGCAGAGAAGGGGGAGTTGGGACGGAAAGAGCGAGAAACCTGCGGCCGAAACCGCTGCGCGCCTCTCGGACACTGCCAGCATGCGGCTTGTGCCCGAAAAACACGGGACAGTCACCCGGGACTCGCCCGGGATGGTGCGCGGGCAGCAGCGGGGCCGTGGCCGTGGCCGTGCCGCCCCGAATCACGGCTCGCACTCGAGAGCCCGCGGCACGCACAGAGAGAAAACTTTTCGAGGAGCTCTCGAGCTGCTGTATCGCACAAAACACGCATCAGACCCGGTCTCCTTATTCAAGCAAAGATCCGATTTCCTTATTCAAGCAAAATTAGAACTTCCCGGTGCTTTGGCAGTTGAGCAGCAGAGGACGCTGAGCGGTGCAAATGCCCGTGTGAGTGCATCATGTGCACGCTGAAGGGAGCGAACGGTTCTCCCTAAAATAAGAACAGTAGGTCGTTTAAGGGTATCGTGGTCTCTTGGATTATTGTGTTAGCTGAAAGTTTATAAGGACAAGAGCGCTTTTCTTAGGGGGCAGAGAAAAAGACGTGTCAGAGAGAATAGGACTGAGGGGACCTCCAGTAGTTATTCTGCTTTGTGAAACTCTCTGACTATATTAGCTCCGAAGTTTCTTGGCAAACTGTCCCAGTATCTGTATGTTAAAGTCATTCAAATTTATATCCCCTATGCTGTGGGTTAAGCCCACTGCTTTTATATTTCCAGGAGAGAGCAGGTTGAGTCTTGCAGTTCAGTACGTCCTCACAAAGACTTTGATTTAAAAGGTGTTGAATTCAAATTAGTAAAAATTAGTAAAGAAGTTCTGAAAATTGTAAAACTCAACATTCTGCTAGATACAGTTGGACCCAATGACTTTAAAGGTCTTTTCCAACCCAGGTGATTCTCTGATTCTGAAAAAATGTGGGCAGTATTACTTCCCCATTATTGTTTTCATCTGGCTTCTTTATTCACTTAACAGTTATATATTATACTATCCAACACATTTCTTCTACAAGCAGTCCATAAAGAAAACTGTGGTTTGTGCAGCAGCATTCTGCAGGCCCCTCAGCAGTACTGATGGGAATGTGCTGCCTACCCTTGACTACTGCAGGACATAGCAAAGCAGAGACAGCTGCCGAATTTTGACAGGCTTTGCTCTTCATCTTGAAGCTGAAGTGGCCAGGCCATGACCTCACTGTGTTACAGCTGCAGTAAAACCTTTGGGTAGCATTAGACAGGGTTCAGGGGCACAGCTCAGCACTTGATCATCAGCAGCGCTTGGACCAGGGCCCTTGCCATTGCAGCTGGAAATCAGAGCCTGCAGGGAAGGCAGTTACACCACTGTAGGGGATCTGCTGCCACAGCCTCCAAGTGGGAGCACAGACGGGAACAAGGCTGCTGGTGGAAAGGACTGGGCAGTGTGGGGTCACAAACTCAGGCCATACTGCCCTGGGTCAGTCTGCACGTAGCTGACCTTGTCCCTAGTATGTAAAAAGCTTGTTCTTTCTTGATTTGATATGAAATCTCTTGAGGAGCCCAGCCCCTCTGGGAGAGCCGGTAATCCTTCCTTCTAAGCCAGTCGAGACTGCCTGCAGACCTTGCTTTATTTATTCTGTTCAGCCTCCCTAAACTGGCTGAAGCAGCATATCCTTAGCACCTTGTTTCAGCAGTATACAACTGAGGAACAGCAACTTTCTGCTTGGGATATCTGCCAAAGCATTCTCTAAAACCCTCAAACAGCATGTTTCTGGCTTTTGATGGCGATTCTTAAGTGTTGCTGGAATACAAGTGCTGCTGCCACCCCCGGTTTTACAGAGAAAGAATAGAGGCAAAGGCAGTTGTACACTGACATGTTCTCTGAAAGAGGAGACACTGAAAATTAGCAGTCACCTTTTGAAAGCTGAAGCTTAAAGCCTTTCATTAATATATACTTAACAAAAATACAGATATAAATTCCACTAACTTAGTGGGAAGAAAGAATCTGTATCTGCTGATATACTAAGAGTGAAGGCTAGTAAACCCACATAATTCTTTAGTGTGTGCTGTGAATAGGCAAGCTTCCTCTTCTTTCCCCTTTTTTCTTTGTCGCTCACAAATATAAAAATGTGGTTAACTTAAAAAACACACTTGTCAGCGTGATGTATTTTTCATTATCTTAAGGAGAATCAATTAGTGCATTTGCATTATTAATCGTGATTCAAGATGGAAGGCACTCTGCACTGCAGTGCAATTTACAGTTGAAGAGAGAAACTTAGCTAGTATTTAATTAATCAAGAGTTGGGTTACTTTGTGCTGTGAGTAAGAAATTCAAATTCCTACCATTTCAAGAGGGAGAGCAATAATTACGTGAGGATGTCTGTTAATTTATTTGTTCTGTATTGACTAGTGAAACAAAATACCAACTGTAATTATGCAACCTTAATTCCTTTATTTACAGCAGGTGAACAAAGTATCTGACAACAGAGGTGTGACCTGTGTCAAAACCATAAACGCTGTCTAAAGTATGTGGTGTTTATTTGTAAAGCAACACCTTATTATCAATTTACTGCACAATATACTGTTTATTTGGCACAAGGGTATTTGTTGTTCTTGTTTATTTAAGTATTGTTTTGCTAGAGATAACGTGGTTATTACTTATCAGCTGAAAACAAATCAGTGTTTGCAATTCCAGGGTAAAAACATCCTGCTAAGTGCTAGCTAATAATGAGTAGTTTTCAAACTTAAAAAAACCTCAAACCTTAATTAAGAAGGAGTAAAAATGTGTACTGTCCTGTAGATAAGATGGATTGTTCTCTGTGAGGGCAGGGAGAGAAGTTGTGGACTCCCTGTCCCTGACAGTGTCCAAGGCCAGGTTGGACGGGGCTCTGAGCAACCTGGGCTAGGGAAAGGTATCTCTGCCCATGGCAGGAGGGTTGGGACAAGATGGTCTTTAAGGTCCCTTCAACCCAAACCATTCCATGATTCCGCAAGAGCTTTTTTCCTTTATGTCTCTCTTTCATTTTTTCCTTAGAGTCACAACATCCTGGATTTCTTATGCTGTGCTTTGTCAGAGCAACATGAGAGTGATTCTTCTGACCAACAAGGGAAATAATTTGCAGCCTTGAAAGTGATTTTGCAAATGCTGGGTTCATCTCCATTTTTGCTACCTGGTGTGTGTTCTCTGTCTCCTGATGTTGTTTCTCTTCATTTTTGCTTCCTACTTTTTTTTTTTTTTTTGTATGTGTGTGTTTTTAGTTTGGTTTGAGATTTTGTTTTTGTTTCATTGTTGTTTTGGGGGTTTTGTTTGGTTGGTTTGCTTTGTTGGTGGTTTTGTGGGTTTTGTTTGTTCATTTGGTTTTCCCTGAGGGAGAAGATATTACCATTTCAAAACTTGCCTAAGTTTTGCTTTTTCACTCCCTTTAAAAATTATTTGAGATTATTTACCAGACTGAGAGCTTCATAAGTCTGGCTGCAGTATCTGAGTATCAGTATGCATATTGTTTAACTGTTGTTTCACAGCACAGATAATGGAAATGTAACTAAAAATCTACCCTAATAGTTTAGTGATTATAATGACATATGGAGAAAAAATATTTCTCCCGTTCTGTTTGACATATTTTAGTTTTGTACTGCAAACCCTACACAGAGAGCAATAGTTACAAACTTACTCCACAACAAAATAGCAATATTAATTGAAATGCCCACATTTTAGTGGGCATAAAGAGAACTAATTTAGTAAGAACTCTCTGTATTTAATCTATTTCTGTTTTACAGGTACCTACTCTGTGTGCTGCAGATGACAAACAGAGGTGACCATCTCCATGTCCACGATAGTAAATTATATGTGCAGATCCTGCTTGTTTGGTCTGAGTGCCACTAGTTTGAATCTTTCTTAAAAGGAACTAGGAGGAAGCAAATTACTACTTAAATAGAGGAGACACGGTCAAAAAGCAAATCAAAGATATGCTGCAATCCAGACAGGCCAAACATAATTGTCTTGTATCTTGTTAGCGATAAGGCTCTTAGAAAGTAAAGCTAATTATCATTAGTGTAAACCAGATCAGAGGATTAAGAAATGAAGAATGTGAAGAAAAGCAGAGGTGATCTCATGAATGGTTCATGCCAAATTAAGCCTCGTTATTTAAGATTCTTGCCCTGGTGTCTTGCAAGGTAAACAAAAACTTTTCTTGAAATCTTTAGATAGTATTCCTTTTTTTACTTCCTCCCTCTTCTCTCCCTCCAGTATTCTGCTGGTTTTTGCCTGTGCAGGAAAAACATACTATGAGAAGGTATAGTAGAATAAGTAGGCAGTAGGTAGAGCAGAGTAGAGTAGAGTAGTTCCCAGCTACTATTTCTATTTTCTGTGTTCGTAGAGAGCTGGATGTGTGCTTTGTGATGGATTCAGTTCAAATGGCTCTTTTATGTATGGCAGCACTGACATTTAACTACAATTAAGGATTCCCTTCTTGAGACCTGTGGATGGTATAATATTTTTACTGGAGACTAATAGCTTCGAGTTGATTTTAGCACACACTTGAAACAGATTTCTTTTATTTCCTGGTGTATAATTAAGAGTAGCATCAGTAACATCAGGCAACTCTTGAGCCTCTTTGCTAGAGGGATCCATTAGGAACCCAGGCCTTTCCTCAAAAAGAGGTAGATTTGATTTTTTCACCAGCTTGCCTGACCACTTGTGTCCTGAGGACTACAAATCCATGGCCCATGTCCACCCTTCTGCCTTTCACAATGGCTGAGAAGTTGAGGTGGTGAATATTCTTCCTGCCACAATAAGTGTTACCTAATTATCTCCTAATACTGTGTGGCTGACTGAGATGGTGCATGTGCCAAACTCTGATGAAGTAAGCCACGGTTTTCACTTAGTGAAGACTTCC